AGAGGAACTACCTGCACCGAGAAGCTTTGTTTGGTTCTGCTGCCGTCACGGAGCAGACTAGCGGGGGAAAAAGGAGCGGAAAGAAGCCCTCACTCCGGCAGCTGCATCCCACGAGCAGCCCCTGGCATACGCGTGTCGCCTGGCAGAAGGACGTGCTGGGAAACGGCAGCGCTGCTGCACAACTGCAACCTGCCGCGGTCCCGAGGGATGTCCGGAGGGACGCGGCCGCGGGAGCGGGGCTTTGCATGTGCTCACGCACGCTCGCACTTTAGCCTGCAGACGTTTTGCTTACTCGTAGTGGTTGTATATAAAGCACAATTCCCATCATTTTTCGTTTTGTTTTCCTCCTGCTATTTCTGTCCTCTTTCATCATGGATAAATTAGCGTGAAGGGAGCTGATGGGGCTAATTAGTTCCAAGCAGTGTTAATTTCTCTGCTTGGAACTCTTTGTTACCCAGTCAGATCGCTCCATTTTGCAGCTTGTATTTTAAAACCCCTTCATTCATAGCACCTAATCCTTTATTTCTTCTTTTTTTTTTCTCTTTTTGATCCTATAGGGAAAACATAATTCCACACAATTGGGTCATAGAAGCTTGCGATGGAAATTACACATGGTTGTAAGAAAGGCTTTACTTTGAATATAAATGTGTTCAACAAAACAGTAGCTATGGCAAGACCCATAGAGAGGCCGACATGAAGGGTGAGTTTAGCAACAAAATGCAGTCACCATAACACGTAATGTCAGGAACTAACCTACCTACTTGCTTTCTCCCAGACTTGCGGAGAGCAAGGAGCAGCTCCGCAATTCGTACGTCAAGCTGGAAGCTGCAGTACTTCTGGGAATAAGATACTTTGCCATCAAAGTCAGCCAGAGTTGTGCAGCTCCGCTCTCAGCCACCAACTTCTCCCTCGTGTCTCATGGCTTCAGTCACGACCATGCGGACGTGCCTCGTAGCTTGGGCTCCCTTGCATTGGTGGCGACTTGAAGCGAGGTTTGCTCAGGAGCTACCAATATTAAATAGTTTTGGCAAGTGGCAAATGAAACTTTTTCATGTGCACTAATAGTTAGCACCAAAGATCATACTTTTTTTTCTCAGAAAAATTAACTTATTCTTATTTCCTGGCAAGATGGTGTCTGGGCACACTTGGAGACAAGATGCTTGGGCTCTGTAGAGATGTGAAAAAACACTCTGTCCTATAGCCAAGAACAGGTTAAGCGGTGGTATTGTCACTGCCTGGCCAGTGTCTCACCCAACCCTGTTCCCACCCAGGCGCGTGGTAACTGCAACTCTTCAGCGACGCGCATTACTCACATCGCTGAGTCCACTGCCCTCAGCACGATGCTCCAAACGCGTGCACCCTCCCTTCGCTCAAGATCTCTGTAGAAGGTGAGTGGCAGAGTCAGGGAAAACCCCCCTTCGACTTCCTAGCTGTTATTGTGACTCTCAGATAACGTTCTTGCCGTCGCCTGTCCCCACTGACTCTACAGCTATGCCTGAGATGTGGCACGAAGGCAGGTAAAACCTGCTGAACATCAAACGTTTTGTACTGGAGATGAAATCTGGCTTCTGTGGCTCATCTATCTCGTTTCTTGATTTTATTCTTTTTAGGCCTCGTCTGCATGGAAACCTCAAGGGGAAACCAGGGCTTAGTTTTCAGTCAGCAGAGCCTTTTTTTTTTTTTTTTTATTCCCCAGAAGTTCCCATAGATGTCCTCTTAAAATGAGGAAACAGCAAATCTGTAAGCTGGGAAGTAAATCACGAGTCTCTTCCCAAGCCATCTGGTTGTGTTAAGATTCCTTCTAATTCAGTTTTATTTTTCTGACAATTCACTGACAGATAACTTTACAAACATCAATCAAAAAAAATCAGTTAAAAAAAAAATCTAGCTTATTAGAAGATGGTTCATCTCTGTAGATGAAACAACCACCTCTACCTTCCGTTATGAATAAATTCAGATGCTAGCTGAAGTGGCCTGGCTTATTTCCAGTTTACAGTAATTCTATTCCACTTACCTGAAATTCTCCTTTTAGTACAACTCTGATGAAATGTTTGTCATCTCTCAACCGCCTGCAATGGCTACAAAATGCTACAGGAGCAAGAGCAGTTCTGGCAGTGGCAAGTAAAGTGGTTTCTTTACAGGCAGTGATAAAATTTTCAAGAGCATTCTCCACTGGTACCAGTCTGTTTCCCTGGAAGAAACACGGAATTTCCGCAGACTCAGATGGGAGCTGAATTAAGCCGACACAGGTGCTTTTGTACATCCCAAAGCTCCCCCAGCATATTCTGTATTGATACACTGAAGTCATTCAGATTATTAGTTGGCTGGAAAGACAGAACTTACACACAAGAAAAAAAATGAAGCTGGAACCCTAAAAATCAGTATTACTAAATGAGACCAGTGAGGATATATGATAAGGACAATTTTATTTTCACCATGATGGCTTGTTCCTAGTTTCCTTTGATGCTGTATTTTGCCTAATGTTTTTCTGGAAGAGAAGCGGCTTGAAATCTCCTGTGAAAGGAAAGGAGCAGAGAGATGAAGCTAAAAATGCTCTTTGTATTTCAAGTACTGTTTTGGTACAGCTGTTTGGCAAGCACTATGAATACTTACTGCATTTTATTTCAACGCTCAGAAGCTTCTGTTATAAGCTTATCTCCTTTATTGCTCCAGAACAGCAGCAAAACCCAACACTTCCCTATCCATATACAATGTGTTACTAACTGAATCCAGCCCGGAAACTCCTGTGGGATGTCTGTGTCTTCCGAATGTCCTAACCTCTCGCGCAGAGTCGGAAAGTGGGAGCCACCTTCCCCTTTATCGTATCGGCAGTTTAATGACCAGGAGAAGTTTTTTATGCCTGCACCCATAGGCTGTGTTAAATTTTTTTTTTTTACTACATTATGTAGGTACTTTGTAATCCTTCAACAAAGCAAGAAATGTCATAAACGTAAAGCGTCATCCCATAAAATCATACACTTTTAGAGTGGCAATTGGGGATCACGTTTATGTTTTTCCAGTAGGAAAGTGGCAAGTGGAACTGACGCTCAATGAAAATACGAGAGTAAGAAATAACTGCAAGTATCCTATTCAGCAAAAGACTGAGGATCTTCTGCAGATAGAAGAAAAAACCAAAAGTATTCTCCAAATTACTTAAGAAGCCGACAAATAAGGAGAGGTTTATAAATCACTGTGGTCTAGCCTCATTTGGCGGGAAGAAGTGAGGGGGTTTTGCTAATACATGAAAGTGGGACCCAAAGGGGACAGACTTTTCTCATAGTTCGTGGATGGATCGACACCTCTCATGTTGTTTCGGAGGATGGGGGTGCTGTTAGAAATTCTTGAACAACAGCTTACTTTTTTTCCTAAGCAGTATCTAAGACAGAATGCCTGCCAAAAGGCAAGTTGAAATTAATGTTCTTTTAAAAGAAGTTATCCTGTCTAATAAAAGGTAGAACTTTTCTGTTATTCAGAACTGGAAGATGTCCTGATTTACAATTCAGATACAATTAACAGTTTCATTTCACATCATTCTTTTTCCTTATAAGTGAATATCTGAATCACACACTGAAAAAAGCAACTAGAGACCAATTCTATAAACCCAGTTACAAGCCAGTGGTGCAGACAAATTGAAGAAAAAAAAAAAAGCCTTGCTTTCTCCTAGTTTTGTAATAGAATGATTTTTTTCCCCGACAAATCTTCAGCCCAGCACCTAAAGAACCTCTTCAAATGGGATTTAGAAACTTACTCTCTTTTGGGAGTCCCATGCGCAAAATTGTTAGGATGGTTACCCTCGGCTTTGCAGGGCAGAGACCTTTCGCATGTACCTGGTCCCTAAAATGCTACCTCCACTCCCCCACACCATATACACACCCACTCCACCCTTCTTCTTCCCACTCCGAACGTGAAAGCTATGGACAACCTGAACCCTCAGTCTCAGTCCGGTTGCTGGCACTGGTGTTATCTGGCAGCTCTGCCGCTCGAATGGTTAGAAGCCAAGCAAATATGTATTTAATGGGAATTATGAAAATCAGAAAGTACAAGGTTCAACTTTTTGAAAAAGCACTTTCTTCCCCCACATCAAAGGGCTCATTGATTTCTTGCTTAAGTTCTGACCGAAGTGAAGCTAAGTGGGTGAAAGGAAGGGAGAAAAAGATCAAATCTAATCTTAGGAGCTGTGGCAAGCAAGTACTTTATGGTCCATCCAAAGCTGATCATGAGACAATTCCTGAATGTAAATATGATTTAATATGTCTGCTAAATGTTAGGAATCTGCCTGAGCATATTCTCCAGGTGAGATATAACTCTTCTTTGCCTTTGCTACCCTTTGTGTGTCCTTGAACTTTGCATTCCTTGAAATCCCAAGTAACCATTCACCTTAATACAGCATTAAGGTGCTTGTTTAGGAAGATTGGCTCTGCTGATTTCAACACTTAAAAAGGGAAACCGCTCTGTTGCTTTAACCACTTCAACACTCCCGTCCCCCTCTATTTTCTGGTCCCATTGAACGCCTCTTCAAAATCAATCAGGAAGCAATTAAGGTGAGCCTGATACAAAGCTGCCCTCAAAATACACACCTGGGTCCCCAGTGGAGAAAGCTGACACCCTGAAAATGTAGTTAAATGTTATGTGGAAAGAACGCAGAGCCCATACACCGGGGTGACCAGTGTAAAAAATGCAATGCCTCAACTCAGGCAGATGACCATGGCAAAGACAAGACATTGCTACCAGCCCCGTCATGGAGGCACTCGTGGCAATACTGGTCAAACTAACAAAGCATGAGACCAATGGTCTTATCTACTTGAAATAAGACAAGGGAGGGGGGAAGGAAACCCAACTCTTTACTGAGATGCAAAAGTACCATCATTTCCTCTCGCCTAACTCCCCTTTGACTTTTGTCAGGTCACCACCATGATGACACAGCAAGGGACATGATGGAAACAAACATCTGATGACAACAGTGGGACACAAAGCAAAGTCTTTACACAGTATTTAGCTAATTATATTTTGGGCAAATATTTATTTATCTAAAAACAAAATAAAAATCATTTTTAAAAGAAAAAATGTATTTAAATAAAAAACAAAATTGTGAAATGTTATGGCACAGAAGTTCAAGACAAGTATAAATCCAGTTGCCACAACTGTTGCGTATTAATGTTGCACATTTTTCTATAAAGACTTTATTAAAAGGTATTTACATGGCAATAAGATGTGTAAATATATACAGCAGTCTGGGGACAACTTTCTTTTTTTTGGGATTCTCATATGAAAAAATGCCTTAAATACAAAATTTTAAAAGAAAAAAAAAGTTGAAGAGTTCATCCCCAAGCATGAAGAATGTCCCATCATCCCTTATGCCCAAAGTATCAATTATGAGGCAGTTTTGAGGTTCTGGCCAAACCCTTGGGAGATTCAGCCAAGGTTGTGTAGTCTCAAGTTGAATCGCACAGCATGCAGTTGCAATATTTCCATACTGGATGGACTGGTGTAGTTCATGAGTGATATTAGAAACATTAATATTTTATCATAGTTTCAGTCTAGTTTGGGTTATTCTAAGTGATGCCCAAGAGTTCCTATGCACAAGAGTTCCTTAGCTGCTCGAGTTTGTGTTTCAACTGTTCTCTCCTCCGCCTCAACTGCTCTTTCTCTGCGATCAGTCTGTGTTCGTCCGATTGGATGGAAAGAACGTACTCCGTTGCTTTTTTCAGGATGACAACCTTGGGTGCCTTTTCGTTGTTGGCCACCTCAGGTATCTGGTCACGCAAGGCAAAGAAACTCAGCTTCAGCTCGTTTCTCCTCTGGCGCTCCAAGACATTGTGCGTTCGCCTCTTATCATTCTCCTCCGAATCTGACGTGCGGGGACTCGAGCATTTTCGGTTATTGCTGATCTGTTTGAGAACTCTGCCACTGTCCAACTTTAGCCTTTTTGCAGCTGGGTATTCAACCTTGGTGGAAGGAGGAGCGGCATAGTTGTGCTGATGGATATTAACGTGACACCGTTTGAGAACCAGCGGGCTGTGGTGGGGCTTACTGTGCTCTTCTGATGTGTCTGTGCTGGACTCTGTGCTGGATTCGGATTCATTCGCTTCAGCTAATGTAACGACATCAATTTCCTCATCTTCCTCTTGTTCTTCTTCTGCAAGGGGGGGGGGGGGGGGGAAAAGAGAGATATTAAATCAC